AGTTTTTGGCAACATCAAACGTAAACTGGTAGATGTCCTTGAACTGTTGTGAGTCCTGTATCTCTCAATCAATGGTCTCACACTTTTTACGGAGTTTATCAATGGAATCACACCTAAAAGAGGGAGAGAGGGGGGAGAGAGAGGGAGAGAGAGAGACAAAGACAAAGAATTATACATTTATTTGTAGAGAGAATGTGAATTATGTTATTATGCTTAAAGCAAAACTCATGAAATACAGTGATAAGAACATGTACAACATAATAGGAGAATGTTCATGTGCAATGAATGTGTCCATCAATACACACACTGCATGTACTGTACCTTCCAAACGGAGAAGAGATCCTTCTTCAAAAACCATCAACTGCTTCATCAAAGTAAGTATCACCTAAACACTAGTAATATGTACTAGCACAATGAGGATACAGTAACTGACCATTGGGATCAAACTCCATATCTCTGAACTGACTTGCATGAATAGGAAGAATTGCAATGAGGCTGATCTAAACACAATCTACAGACATGTAAAATTGTAATTGTATATGTACATGCAAAATAATAATGTCAATGAATTATAATGTCATGCATCAAACAGGTCTACAAAAGTAACAGTGTGTAATATACATACTGTATGTACATACATGCACAGTAAAATAATCATAACTATTAATCAACCTCTCACCCACACTGGTAGAGCCAGTCACCATGCACTCCACTCTTGACAGTTTCCCCTTTAGTCCACAATCCACTGACTCTCAACAGCATACCAGCAAACAATAGCTTCCTTGATATGTACACTCCTTTATCAATCTGTGAGTCAATAAGAGTTAAGAGAATACATGTACAGTATATACCAGTGAATTTGTGAACCTCCACATGTATATTATAGTCATACATGTACATACAATTGAGCCAATAAATATGACACTTGCACACTGTACATGTAGCAACATTTACATGTAAATGCAATAAACATAAATGTACATGTACTCCATGCTGATACTATACATGTACATGTACATGTATACTGTACACTGTTTGTTATCAACCGTAGAATATTAAAACTTATTAATTTATTTAGGTTTCAGTATACCAATTTTAAAGAATTTATTGATTATATTAAATATAATAATAGCTATAGATTTAAATTTATGAAGGTACTGTATACATATTCTCATTTATAATCTTTCAAACATTGACTCATTGTATCATTATGGTATCATTGAATCACGAATAACTCTTACATCAAACAGGCACATACCCAATGGCTACC